GTGGCTTTCCTGTTTTTCCCCCCTGGAGCCTGACCCATCGAGTCCCGTGTCTGTGGGAGCTCGGGCAGCAGCCAGGTTCTGTCTGTCAGCAGTGGGCAGCCTGGCAGGGAGAGTCACTTCTGGAGCATGCTCTGTGCCAGCAGGTGCCAGGAAGCATCAGTCCCACACTGCAGTGGTGCTGGTCCTTCTGCTGCTCGGCATCAGCTCCCTCAGAGGGCAAGAGGATGATCGGGGGTAAGGCACAAGACTCAGCTGTGCAGAGGTCACCCTGTCTGAGGCATCATATAACTGGAGAGAGTTCAGCAGAGGCTACAAAAATGCTGAAGGAACTGGAGCATCTCTGTGCCAGGACAGGCTGAGAGCCCTGGGGCTGTTCAGCTGGAGAAGAGAAGCCTCAGAGGGGATCTGATCAATGCTGAGGAAGAGCTAAAGGGCCCCTGGGGGGCAAGAGGCTGGGGCCAGACTCTGATTTTCAGTGATGCCCAGCGACAGGACAAGGGGTGACAGGCACAGGAGGGTTCCATGTCAATACAAGGAAAAAATTCTTTGGTGGGAGCAGCTGCCCAGAGAGGCGGTGGAGTCTCCTGCTCTGGAGAGATCCCAAACCCACCTGGACACCATCCTGGGCACCCTGCTGTGGGTGAGCTGCTGGAGCAGGGGGGTTGGATGAGATGATCTCCAGAGCTCCCTCCAACCCCACCATGCTGGGATCCTGTGACTACTCAAATCTTCCTTGGAGCCATTGCCTGCTGCCCTCCATCTCCCCTGCCCCAAGGCCAGGAATCTGTCTGAAAACGTGACAAGCCTTCCTGAGGACAGACCATTCTCTGATTTAGCAGGACTGAGGTGGGTGCAGCTAACAACATACACAGAACCAATTCAGTCCACGTCAGCACACAGCAAAACCCTGTGCAGGGACCAGTCTGAGCTGCTGCTTCTCCCCCAGGCAGCAATGGGCAGTTCCTCAGCGTGGCACTGGGGAGCAGCTCAGACTCTGCCCGTCGCAGATCACACCTTAAACCAAACCAAGGCTACAGGAGTCAAAGCATGAAGAACAGGAAAAAAGCTCATGAGCTGTTTTATTAAATACCTGGCCAGGATTCTCAGAGCAAACAGCTCTTGCTCCCACAGCCCCCACACCATGTGATGTGCACAGTGTTGCTGCCTCACCACACCAGAGTTCCTCCCACTGTCATTTTGTACAAGAATTTCTTTGCAATCCAATATTGGAAAGCTTCTAATTGATCTGTTAACAGCTTCCTATAAAAACAAGGAGAAAATGTCTATGGACAGGACCTGCTTTCTCTGATGTCAATCCACCATGTAGTTTAATCTTCATAAAACTTAATTGCAAACAGCTTTTAAGGCTGGTTTGGGAGATCTGAGCTTATTTCAGTAGCATCTACAGCTTAATTTATGCAAGATATGCTAAATACTATGAAATCAAACACATCTCAGTTAATGGGCAGCTGCATTTATTCCAGATCCAGCTCCAGCTCCAGGTTTGGCAGCGCCTGCTGAAGGACATCAATGGTGGTTTCCTTCTGCCTTATTCCAGGAAGGTCACTCAGAAACAAATATTCAAGGTTCCTGTAAATATTTAAAAAGAAAAATCAGCAACTACTGTTTAACTGTTGACACAGAAATTAGACAAAGGAGTATTCTACCCTAGTTATTTTGAGTATTTTTAAATAATCAAACATTGCTTCTAACAGATGTTGTTTTTCCAAAGTGGGTGCTTACAGTTTTTAAACTCTAAAAGTTCTGAAAGTGTTTTAAAAACTAAAGTTTTTCCCTCATTTTAAGTTCAGTCTTTCTACACAGCTCAAAACAAGATCCTAGACTCCCTAAATCACGAAACTTTCTTTATATTAAATAGTATTTAATCATTTCAATAGCAATATAGTATTTAGGCATTTCAAGTGACATTCAGGAAAAGTTATCTGAATGTAAATTATAGAGTAATTTAGAAAGTCTTCAATAATCACTTTCTGTAGGGTGAGATCCAAGTCACCACCTCATCAACGTCTGTGCCCCCACGTAAGCCCCAAAAGTTCTGAGTTGTTCTAAGTTGTTTAAGAAGGGCAGCAGTGGGGTCAGGAGGAGAAACCCAGGTGAGGGTTCATTATTCTCAGGCAAACCCAGCCTCGTGTGCCAAGGGGGAAGGAGCCTGGGAGGCGGTGAGCGAGGGGAGCTCAGCATCACGTACGCCAGCCTGTGAAGAGCAGTGACCCCTCTATCCGTGACGTTCCCGCAGGAGATGATCTGCAGCCGCAGGAGGCTCCTCTGGAGGTTCTTTGTCTGGCTGAGCCTCTCTAGGCACTCGTCCTGGATGTAAATACACTTCTGCAGTTTGATTTCTCGAACGTGTTCAAGACCGTCTGGAAAGACAAAAACAAGGATTTGCTTCAGAGTACCAGGAAGAACGCGTGCTGGTGGTTGAGTCCTCCAATTCGTAGCTGGCTCCCAGGGCAGAGGGCAGCACACTCCTTTATGTGGCAATGCTCAGTGCATCACCAGAGTCCCTTCAGGGGCCTTCTGACCTGTGCAAACCCCAAAGCTTGTGTCCTTCTGGTGAGATTCTGAAAGCGAGTAACAAAAAAACCCTACAAGATTGCAGGTGATGACTCTGATTTAGGAACATAGCAATGGGGAACACTGAGAGTCCCCTGACAATGAAAAAATAAAATGGTCTGTTCCCCAGGCCGTAAATTTGTTTATTTAAAGGAGACCTGAAACACTTTTTTAATCTCTTCTTTTGTAAGAAACTGAGAGCTTGCTTCATCTTGTGTCTTTGAAGACCTCACAAAGGCCTGAATAACAAGCAGTATTACGACTTTGCGGACACCAAAACCACTTGGTTTAGAAGAAAAAGAGTATTTAAAGTAGTCCTTTTTGCTACCAACTGCTTAGCTATAAACTCAATGAAAACAGCAAACCTTCATCACGGTTCCTTAGTGCTGCTGTCACTTCAGGGAAGAGCTGAGGAAGTTCCCAGACCCTTTGTGCTTCACACCACACCTCCAACAAAACCTTAGGAACTGATGGCTGAATATTTGTAGAGCCATTTTAAAGGGGGGGAAAAAAATCACAGTATTTTCTTACTAAGGAATAGGTAAATGACCCAGTTACTTATATTCTGATGTGACTAAAAGAACTAAACCTGCCCAGCGTAATCTTCGCAGCGCTGTGTCTACGTTACCCAAATAGTCAAATCCTCTGTACATGATGCAAGACTCCGTGGCATTAATTGCTTCTATCTTGTATTTGCCCAAGGGCCCCGTCGGGAGCCCATTGTAGTCCTGCTGCCATTTCTGGTAGCCCTGGTAGCGCACCAGGGCGCCGCACCGCAGCAGCCACTCGGAAGCCGCCCTGTCGGGGCCAACAGCCTCTATCCGCTCGTAGTCCACCCTGCCAAGACACAAAGAGCACCACAGGGTTTCTACTGCACGGCTAGGACCTGGTTATGTGGGTGCCAAGATGCCAGAAAAGGAAGGGTGGGAGATACTGGAATGATTTGGATTGTGGTTGTTCTTAATCAGCGTGGCATGAGGGGTTTTAACTTGGTTTAAATGGTTTTTGGTAAAAAAAAGGACACAACTGCAACTTGACTCAACATTTTAACACATTGTTTGCTTCCATGTCTGTGAGGAGAAATAAAAAACACCTTTCTCTACCCAGCGTAAGGCTTTACAACAAGAGCAAAATTGTCTCCCAAACACATTTTCCTTCTAAACACCTCTCATGGCCTGTCACATTATGTTGATCCTGAAGCCTTTTTTCCTCAACAATTACAATTTTTTAAAACCCCCACACTTCAGCAATTTGTTAAAATCCTAGAATCACAGACTGGGTTGGGTGGGAAGGGACCTTTCAAGGTCATCCAGTCCAACCCCCTGCCCTGAGCAGGGACATCTGCAGCTAGAGCAGGTTGCTCACAGCCCCGGCCAACCTCACCTGGAATGGTTCCAGGGATGGGGCAGCCACCACCTCTCTGGGCAGCCTGGGCCAGGGGCTCAACACCCTCATACAGTACAGAACTTCTTCCTTACATCTAACCTAAATCCTCGGGTCCATTCAGAAAAAGGGTTTCTTGGGGTGAGGAATGCTGAAGACAGAAGCAGACACCTGGAAGAGAATCCTGTGTGGCTGAGCTTCCTGCCCCATTCCAGCAAGCAGCTACACCACAAAACCCTTTGAAAACATAAGGCAAAACTATGAGCTAGGAGCACAACCTATGGGTAGAGAAAGAGTTTCACAGAGAACAGCTTTATCTTTCTTAAAGTAGATGTGAAACCCTTGTGTGACTGAATCACACTGTAAATGATGGGTTGGTTTTATGCTTTTCTGAATAAGTAAATGGGGCGTGGTTGTACTACTGGTTAGATGCATTTGGGGGCCAAAGGAAGACTGACATTTCAGGAGAAATTCCACACGGCCAACTTGCCTCGACCACCCTGGGGAGGGGAGCAGAGCACAGACCCTCCTCTGGAAGGGCACAGCTTTCGTAACTGAAAACGAGTAAGGAACGATGCTCGCCAAGCACCGACATGCAATCTGGGGGAAAAGCGCAGCGCTGATAACCGAGAACGTTCTCCGGGACTGAATTCTCAGTTCTGCGCCCAGGTGATGGCCCCGCTTACTTGTTGAAGACGGCATTGAGCCACCCCCAGAAGGGTCTGCAGGCGCCCCGCGGCACCGGCCCGCGCCGGCAAACCGGCTGCACGAGTCTCCCCAGCAGCACCATGTTCCCGAGGGAGAGGACAGAGGGCAGACGGAGACGTCCTGCGGCGCTCGGCCCCGGCCCCTCCCGAAGCAGCAGAGCGGGCGGGCGGCACCCGCCTTCCCCTCAAGGCCTCAGCAGTGGGAGCGA